ACTTGAAAAAAATAAAGTGAGATCTCTCTCATTTTAAGAATCACTATTATGGTACTGGAGTGTAGCTCAGCGGTAGAGCACTTGCCTAGCAATGTGATTACACAACCACCCCCCCAAAAATTATATATATATATAATTTAAAAATTTTAATTAAAAATCTAGACAGGAAAAAGTACCCTAGGATAGTAATAGGAATGCAGGAGAGTAAATTTCTGGCAAAGAGGAAAAGAGATTATTCATCAGGGGAGTAAAAATAAGAGCCTTCATGATATTTGGATAGCAGTTGCTACTTAGTAAAGTAGATAGAGAACCTGCCAGAAAGTTTTCAAGTAAAATCATTCATTGGTTATTTTAATTAAAAATATGACTACCAACCAAGGAATCAGAAGCTGTGGGCCATAAATGAAGTACTTAAAGTGCATTACACTGATTAATAAAAGGACTCTGATTAACCTTGCTGACTAGGGAATTTCATACCAAAGAGATAAGTATAATATTCTGTTTGTATCATTAATGAGCCAAAACTCATACATCTGAAGGGGAATCAAAATGCATAGTTGGGAAAATCACTGGAAACAACTTTATGGAGATTCGTTCAGGATTTCAGAATGTCCGTCACCAGTGGGAACCAAAAATACAAAAGGCCTCTAAGTTTTCTTAGAGATTTCTTCTGAGTTTACTTTCATTCTAAATACTGTCTGCTTGGCTCAGAAAAAATAATAATAATAATAAACAAAAAAACCCATATCATACATACTTTGACTATTCAGATACATTGCATTCAAGAGTTAAGAATTCACTCAAGTATAGGTCGTTCCTAATTTAAAATTGTCATCTGGTAAATGCTATTTTGCTTTCTTGCTTTTGAGACTCACATTTCTTCCATTTCCTGGGAGGCCTCTCAGATGCCAGCCAGCACATTTTTATTGTTTGCTTTGCAAAATGTGAGAAGTGGCTTTTTTTAATTAATAAAACATGATTTTACCTGAAGATGTGATTATGAAGCTTAAAATAACTTGAAAAAAATATAAAGTGAGATCTCTCTCATTTTAAGAATCACTATTATGGTACTGGAGTGTAGCTCAGTGGTAGAGCACTTGCCTAGCAGTGTGATTACACAACCACCACCCCCCCCCAAAAAAAAGAATATATAATTTTTTTGTACTGGGATTCAAAGCCCAGGGTTCAAAGCCCCACCCAAAAAAACATGATGCTGGTTAAAAAAAAAAAAAAACACACACACACACACACACACAGGGCTGGGGTTGTAGCACAGTGGTAGAACACTTGCCTAGCAAGCATGAGACACTGGATTTGATCCTCGGCACCACATAAAAATAAATAAATAAAATGAAGGTATTGTGTTCATCTACAACAAAAAATATTAAAAAAAAAAAACACAGACACAGCACCAACACTTTAAATACTCATTCTGGAAACTGGATTCTAAATCTGTTTTCTAGTATACTAATAGGAGAAATTACTCAGTGAAACAAGCCCAGGGCTAGAGGGAAAAGCAGAAATTAGTTTCTAGAACTTCTTTGTAATCCAATAGCTTTATTCTATCTTCCTCACAAAATCCACATTTGCTCATGAGATCAACTTTTGACTACTCATGTACTGATAAGATTATATATTTGGAAGAATGATATTCAGATCCTAAGTTAATTTCTTTGCCAGCAGAGTTCTGAGTTGCCATTCCAAAAATTACACACTGATTTCATATTGGCTTATGGGTACTATATTTAGAAATAAAATTTAATAACTTTTAAAATCCTATAAAAATGCTATTGTATGTCCTAAAGGAAATAAAAAAAAGATTAAGAATTGATTGTACTACTGTTAATCTTCTTCAGGACAATCAAATGTTGAATACAGAATTATATTATTAACTACATAAGAAAATGTAAAAGCATATCTGTTATAGACTTTACACATTACTTACTAAGCCAAAAATAACTAAAAACTGAAGGTTTTCATCCTTTAAAAGAAAACAGTAGTGTTCTGTTTCCTCGTCTGAATACTAGTTACATAGGTTCGCCTATTTTGTGAAAACTAATCAAGTTGCCCATTTATAACTCTTCTGCATAGAGCTTTTCAAATGCACTTTTAAAAGTCAAAGAGTAACGTAACAGTTCAAGAGGGCAACGTCTAGAAGTCCTGCTTTTATTTAATAAAGTCTCAAAAACTTTGATCCAGCCACAATCCTTCAAGGCCACACATAAATGGGTCCTATTCTTTTAGAACTATTGGGAAAAGAACTCAATAACTCACTAACCAGTTGTAGACCACTCGGCTCCACACTGTTCTCCGAGAATTCCTTTGTGAATGAAGAAATTAACAGAACCACTTACATATACTTTGTTTGGCAAGCAACTAGGATTCTATTTATCATTTCTATGCTTAATCTTAATATTAAAGGATTGATTATTAGGCTGGAAGGATGTAGGGAAAAAAATTGAAGTAACTTTGAAGAAAGATGAGGTTTTTGCCTGGATTGAAGACTGAAGAGAAAATCATATACCCACACTCATGTTAAACAGAGAGGAAACATATTTGTGCACTCTCTTGCATGCACACACGCACATACCAAGGATATCCTGCATAAATCCTGAAGATAAGACCACAAGTCCTATTATTTCTGTGTAGACACCCACCTGTTATACATAAGACTGGAACTGTTTCTTTCCTCTCCCAGACGGTGTAAATTGCTGTTTCCTAATTGAAAGCCACATCCCACAGTCCTAACACTATGAAAACACCCATTAGTGTGAATGAAAATTTAGCTCTGTGAGGACCATAGGAGTCTGCTCATATTGACAAGAAGAATTTAAAATGCATTTTCTTCTCATTCAGAGGTGATGACACCATTAGAAGCAGCAGAAAAAAATAAAACACCCTGCTTCCCGAGAGCCAGCATCTCAAAGTTCCTTTCTCATAACCCCAGAACCTTTTCGTGGTCTGGGTAATTTGGCTGCTCAGGAAATGAGAAAAGGCAGTCTTTGTGACTCAGGGTCAAATAAATTACCCACCAGCTTGAACCTGAGTTATTTTACATTGAGCGCAAATATAAGTTTTAAAAATACCTTTAAAATATACTGAGCATTCAGATAGTCTTTCATTGAACAAAGTCAAAAGATGAAAGCAATCACCTTATATGATGATTATATTATATTATGATTCTAGCACATAATTTTTTTTCTTTTTAACAGAGTCCCTATCAACATTTAAAGAAAAAAAATAGACCCTCTCCTTCATCTTTCAATCAAAATAGAAATGTCAATTCATTACAAAGTCCTGAAAGTACAAATCACAAACCCAGTAACTGGCCTCAACTATTCAGTACTTTCTTTAGAACTGAAAAGAAGATATGAGTGAATTAGCATAGAAATATGTATCATTAGCTATTGTATCTGAAAATTGATGGAACAGATGATTTTTATATAAGCACAAAACATATTTAAACTGTAACAATAAGTACTCTCTTTCTAAATGCTATACAAAAGACTTCATCATCTATTTTATTTAAACAGAAGTGATGTTGAGCAGGGTATTTATTTGCAATCCACTCAGGAGAGGGCCCAACTACTCAAGTTCCCCCCACCCCTTTAATTAGTTGATTTGGAAAATCAGAATCAGTATGCTAATTTATTTCCAGTTTATTAAACATGTATTCCTGAAAATACTGAGATTTTTAAAAAAAAAAAAAACTCTTTTCTAATTTATTTTTTCCTTAGCTCTGTATAAGGCAAGTCTTCTGCATTAAGCATTTGTAGTCTAAGAAAAAAGTTAAGTTTTTGGTTTCTCTGAGTTCCACTTTTGTGTCTGAATAGAAACTCTTTAAAATGATGAAGACCATCAAGGTGACTGTGGCACAGCTTTACCCATTTATTAAACCTCCAAATTGGGGAGAAAATCCCCTTTTTCATCCACATGAACACAGAGATAATATATCCCTAAGTGGTTGTTAACAGAGAATTAACAGCCTGTTCCCAAGCCAGCCACATTGTCTAGATTATATCTCAATAGTTTGCTTAACCATAATCCAAAGATGTTTTCTCTATTCTGGGTCATCACAAAAAAAAAAAAAAAGAAAAGTTGGAAACACACAGTGTGTCACTAAATGTGATTGTCCAGGATTTCAAAATCTAGGCAAAGGTATAGAGAAAGAAGAAAGACAGATATAAGATACAGACACAGACACAGACACACACACAGAGAGAGACACACACACAGAGATAATACACACATATGCACATATATCCATACATTTATACATACATACATATACATGTGTATATATATATGTATCAGCCCATATTCATTCTAGTTTAAAAAGAAAATACTTTTTTAAATAAACACAAAGAAAAATAAGAGCTACTTTTTTGGAGTAGGTCACTGAAGCTGTGCCTCTTTTAAAAATTTCTTTTCTATCAATTTTACAATTATACCTGTATTTTTACCTTGTTTATAAGATGCCAAAACCATGTTCTCATCTTCAACTTCAAACACTGTGTCCACATCTATTTCCCTTTGGATTAAAATAGACTTCAATTTTCCGTAGTCATTTGACTTTAGCGCCTCAAGGAAATTTCTCTTAATTAACCTGGCAGTTCCAGATTTACTGAGAGGGACATTGTTGTTATCCATCCTCCTCTCTCTCTGGAAGCTCTGTTGTGATTTATCAGGAGAACAGCACTAAGCGAACAAGCACATGCTGGAGAGTCCACAAACTGTCGGCTAATTTTATCCCAAAGTTATGCTGATCCGTTCTATTTATATAGGGATCATTTCAAACTTCAAAATATCCTTCTTGGCTGTCAGTGCATTTTCAGGTCCTTTAAACTGGTTATATATTAGCAGATCCATTCAGTAATATACAGTGCTGATATGAAAGAAAGCTCCCGCAACACATTTCTGAGCATGAAATGTCACTCTTATTTCTTATATGATCAAAGTAATAATGTAAGATTTAAAAGCTCTTAATGCTCTTTTTTTTCCTCCACTCAGTAAAAACATCTGGTGCCTGGCTGGAGACCCAGGGTCTTGCTCTGACTAACCAATAGCCCAAAAACGAAAATTTGTTTCAGTTCTGGAAACCTGTAGTAATTTTGTAATAGAAGTCTGTAAAAATCAAAAATGGTTATACACATTTGAAAACAGAAGGTTTTCAAATGACCTAGACTTGAAAATTTTCAATATTATGAAACAGCAGGGTGGGCAGTTGGTGGGGGGTATTTTAAGTAAAAAAGAGCTAAAGAGGCAAAACAGCCAGATGCAACAAGTGAATGAACTTTATTGAACCCTGTGTTTTCTTCAAATCAATTAGAAAAGACTAGACAGAGACCATTTGAAAATACAAATATGGACTAGAGATTATTTGATAAAATGCAATTATTCAATTGTTGATTTTAAGGTATGATAAAGATATTGTCATTATGTAGAAGAATATTATTTTTCTTAAGTCATGCATTAAGGACTAAAGTGGTGCTGTGGATCAAACCCAGTGCCTTACACACCACATGCTTTACCACTAAGCTACACTCCCAGCCCCTAAAACTTCTTTTATAATACTTCAGATAACACTCATGTAGAAAAGTAGATAAAAATACGTGTGTGTGTGTGTGTGTGTGTGTGTGTGCGCGTGTAGACCAAGAGAAAATGTACATGGGGCAAAAAGTTAAAAATTGGCAAATTTAATGAAAGATATACAGTTGTCTGTTACATCATTCTTTCATTTTTTTCTGGATATTTGAAATTTTCCAAAATAAAAAGTTGAAGAGAAAAATGTACTTTTTTAACTTATTAATACTAGAAAAGTGATGATAACAAACACTAGCTAGAATGCAAATAAAATACATTTTTATATACTGTTGCTAGGAATCAAACTGCTAGGGACTTTCTGTGATATAATTAGCAATATGAATTTCTAACAATTTATAATGATACTATCATTTGAATGTTAGAATTTATTTAAGTATGTAAACATAGATGCAAACCATAATACAATTTTTAACTTCTTATATTGATGTGTAACAGAAATATAGGAAAAGGACAAGTCATAAGTTTATGGCTTATCAAATTTTCACAAAGTGAACATGCCTATGTAACCAACAGCCATATAGACTGGTCTAGCCACACTGACAACTTGTGGCAAAAGTCTCTTCTACTGAATTGATGGTTAGATATTAGTATATTAAATATTACCTATATATATCTCATATTCCTGGAAGCTATTTTAGAGGGAAAGTCAAAAGTCTCAAAGAATAGAATAGAATTCAATAGATGCATTCAAACTCACTTAAAGACTCCTGTACAGAGGTAAGATTTAAAAATGCTAATACTTAACCATCAGTATTATTAGAAGGGATTTTTGCCATAACTTACCAGTATGAGCAGATGAGTGTATATCAGGGAGGTAAAGGGGGTCTTCAGATGAATTCCTTGTCCTCTAAACTGTCCCTGGCCTGGAATAAGGGCTTATCATAAAATTGGTCCTACTTGGCTATATTCATATTTATGCCTCCCTAGACTTTCTCTAGTATATTTGTTTTTTTTCTGGAACCATTCCACCCCACCAGAGTTCAACTGGAAGAAGTGCATAAAAGGGGGGAAGTGAGAACCTGTCATCTAAGCCCTGGATCAACCTCTACTCCTCATAATCCATTAAGACTCCCAAACATCCTGGGCAGAAGGGTCCAGTTTTGAACTTTTTACTTCCTCTATAACTTTCCCTCCTTCTCTCTAGGTCAACAAGCCATAGGTCAAAAACAGTTTTCATCTTTGTACTGCAGAAGAAACTCCATGATTTGAGTCCTTCAGGCATGATCATTGATACACTAGAAAGGAAGTGCTGAAGCACTTCCTTTTCTTAATGCCTGATTTTCATAATTATTGTCTTTCTGAAAGTCTTGTTCCATAGCTGTAAAAATAAATTAGAGCTAAACTTTGTGGGATAATTTGAGAAAACAAAGCCAATCGTGAAGAAATATATAAAATTAAGAAAGTTATCACCTTATTCCACTAAAAAAAAATCAATTATTGACCAATTTATCCAAGCAGCAGAAAATAAAACTTAGAGATTATTTATAATTAAAAACAAATATCAATGTAATTAAAAATTGCCTGAGTGAACGTCATTCTAACATCTAGGAAATATCTTGACCAATGCTAATAAAACAGATTTGAGACTTGTCTTCATTCTCTAGATCACGCTTCAAGTCACCATCCCTCTAGGACTCAGGAGGCCACGTTACACAGTGGCCATGTTTCACACTGTCTAGTCAGACCTGTCAGAAAATCTTGTCTCCTCAGCTTTAAAATGAAAACTCTCCATCCTGTAAAATGAGTTTTTTTTATTAGTGTTTCATGACATTCCCAGGACAGTGTTCTCTTCTCTTGAAATGGTATGAAGAAGCTTTCTGACAAGGTGTGATGTTGTGGCAAGTGGCCCACAAAACCCTACTGGACTCTCTGGGGACCAGTGGCTGAGGCAGGAGGCACAAAGGCCCAGCTGTTTGTTTTCCTGATGTCTCCGTACAACACAATCTGACCACTGGACTACCATCTCTGGAACAGGAATGGCTCCTTAGTTTATTGTTACACTGAAACATGAATTTGATGCTGCTAAATTACCAAATACAATCATAGGCAAGAAAAGAGAAGCCACAATAGATCTAAAATATATCTTCATAAATCAAAATTTCTAAAAACTAAAAAAAAAAGTCATTTCCCAGCCTATAATGGTGTTTTCATATATTTCATGATACATTTTGACAGCAGAATTTTAACGTATACAGATGTCAGTATTTTTCTTTTATTGTTTATGCCTCTTTGTAATTTTGTCTAGGAAGTTCTTCGAGTTTTCAAGACATTAAAGATTTGTGTCTACACTGTCTTTAAAAAAAAAGAGAGAGAAAAGAAATCAGAATTTCTATGAAAACAGAACCCCAGAGGCCTACCTGACTTTCCCAGCAGATGAATTAGAATGCTTGCACTATCAGCTCACAAACATGACATGGGTGATAAGATTATCTGACATCCCTTTCTTTCTGTTTTACTTAAATCTACCACATAGCATCTTACTCCTGACCTGTCACCCTGTTTGTCATGATTTCATATATTAGTGTTAATGTTTTATATAAAGATGCTTTGGGTTGTAGGTAACACCAACAACATAAACTTTCTTAAAAAGAGTAAAGAAGTTTTATTGGTTCACACAATGAAAAATTTCATTTGTACTATGGGTTTTAGCAGAGATCTGATGAAGAACTTTTTAGTATCAGCAGAATTGTGCAGGAGGTGGTATTATTAGTCACGTAATTATAGTTATTATGTAGTATACTGGTCAGGAAAACTAAGAACTAATGACTGTTAAGTGACTTCTGTAGTCTACTGTGACCGCTATGGCAAATAAGTAGCAGATGTAAGACTCAAGCCTAGATGTTGAAAATTGAAACTAATGTTTCCATTGTTCAAATGACTTTTTAGACAGTTTCATTTAGGTTAATTATAAACATTTTTTAAATTCCCTGAGTAAACTAGGAAGAAATCTGCTTTTATTTATTCCTTTGATGAGTAAATATTTGGCAGCAATTTACTATATAGACCAGGTACTGTATTAGCTATCTTTGGCTGCAATAGTAAATAACCCCAAAATGTATTGACTTAAAGTAACAGTAATCATTTACAATCTCTCAAGACATAGTAGAAAGACTACTGTCTGCTCTGTGGTACTGAAGGCCCCAGATGAAATACTCAAAGGCTGGGGTTAAAAGACCTCCTTTCAAACTGACTGAATCACTTGGCTAGCAAGTCGGTGCTGACAATTTGTTTTCTATCAATGTAGTGCTCTCCACGGGGCTGATTGAGTGTCACCCCAACATGGCAGCAGGCTGCTTCTAGAATGAAAAAATTTCAGCAGAGCTAGTTGGAAGCTGTGATAACCTAACTGGTAAAGTCACATGCCCCTATTTCCAACCCACTCCACTGGTCACGCTGACTAGTCCTGATTTAACAACATGAGGGAGAATAAAATAAAGGAATGACTTCCAGGAAGAAAGAAACACAGGGGCCCATCTTAGCTGACACCAGTACTTCTTCTGAGCACTGTGGATAAATAAAGAAAATATGCAAAAATTACTACTTCTATCAAGTTTTGATTCTGGTGGAAGGACTGAGAGGGAGCAAACAAACAACAACAACTTTAAAAAAAAGTGAGATACAGTTTGTCAGATGCTACAAAGAAAAATAAACTGAGAAAGTTCTAGGGTCTCAGCAAGACCATAAGTCACCCTTTTACAGATCAGGAAAAGGTATGCTCATCTGAACCAATAAGAAAAGCCTCCTTTGTTTCCAGGTAGGTCCTAGGAAAGTATAAGGGCCTAGAAAGCATTGCAATTTCAAACAAATGGTCAGAGAAATCCTCACTTCCCTTGAGCACAAACATGCAGGCAGTGTGAGAATGAACCATGCTCAGACATGAGCTGCAGGATATTTCCAACAAGAGGTGCAGCAGATCTGAAGGTCTCTAAGATCAGGAAAAAGAGAGAACACCAGGAAGCCATCTTCAATCAGGGGCCATCACCTATTTTCAGGTATTTTTGAAGGTCAGTAGAGTTTAGGAGTAGAACTGATGGATATCCACTGATTTCATTTCCACCACATATTAAACCCACATCCAACTCTCTCAACCAAAAGCTAAGCCTGGAATGGCATCCTCAAAACAGCATGTGACACGCTACCACACAGTAGGGCCTCCAAAATGGTAATTGACAATGATTGTGCTTTTTCTATAGATAGTCAAAAAAGTAAATATATTATTTGTGGATATTCAATATTAAAGTGGAGCAAAAAAAAATCAAAC